CATGTCAAAGAAAAGTGTCGCATCTGTAAGAGCTTTAGTCCCAGAACACAGAAGGAGCGCAACATCCGTTTGAGGGCCCTCCTCATGGAGGCTGCTCTCTGCCCGGCCTTGGGACTGTCCCAGACGGACTCAACTCCCAATACTTTGGCCTCTGTGCGTAGTAAACCCCTGACACCAGGTTCTACCTGGCACTGCTCCCCTTTGCTGGTGCCCAAGAAGAAATCTAAGAAGTGTGACCCGACACCGAGCAAGAAAGACCAAGGGGCATCAGGTGAAAGACCAAGGGGCATCAGGTAAAGGACCCTGTTCAGGCTGCCCGCCTTGAAACCACAGATTGAGACACCAGTCACCATATGGCTGGCACCGGTCATCCTCCCGCCAATTGTCTCCAAGGCGTAGGCCACTGGCACTGAGACTGTGGAAACATTCGCCAATGCGGTACTGATACCCCCGCTCCCGGCACCGATCCGCTTACTTAAGGCACCGTTCATCCATGGTGACAGTTAGCCACCAGACTCAGGCGTGGAAGGCCCCACTGTGGTCACCAGAAGGGGATTCCTTCAGCACAGAAAGGGAGTTCAGCCCCTCACGGAGGTAGCACTGGCATGACTGGGCACCTGAGACTACATCCACCTCCACAATGCTGCCCTGGCAGCAGGGCCAGTGGCCAAGGCAATGGCGCTACTGGAGTGCCTGGGGCATGCCGGTTATGCTGATGCCTCCTTCGCCCCAATCTTTGGTAGCTGCTTCAGAAAAGCAACAGACAGCATGGGTGGCATGACAGGATTGGTGCGTGAAGCACAATTGGACGCTGGGGTGGAGGAACGAGTGCCCACCCCCCAAAACCTCCTTTCCACATGGGGGATGAAGCCCTGGGCTCTCCCCCGGTGATCCAGTTGTCCTCATCTCTCCAGATGAGGCTGTTGCGGGGCCCTCTCATGCTAGCCCACCGGACAGTTTTAAGGAGCACCAAATCCTGCTCCGAAGGGTGGCCACAAACTTAGGCCTAGAGGTGGAGAGACGTGTCTCACTTCTGGTGCATGATTGGGTCCTAAAGATTGCCAAAGCCCTTTGGAAAACCCCATTCTCAATCCCGCCCACCTCCAGGAGAACTGAAAATAAGTATTTTGCCCCAGCCAAGGGGTTTGAATACTTGCATACCCACACTCCCCGGGGTCGTTGGTCATTTCTGCGGCCAATGAGAGATGCAGAAGGGCAATCCAGTTCTATCCCCAAAAATAGAGACCAAGAGGCTGGACCTTTTTGGAAGGAAAATTTATTCCACGGCCAGCCTTCAGTTCCAGGTCGCAAACTACCAGGCTCTTTTGGGGAGATATAACTTTAACCTATGGGACTCCCTCCATAAGTTCAAGGACTCCCTGACCCAGGACTCGGCCCAAGAATTTGGGGCCCTTGTTGAGGTGGGCACTACAGCGACACGGTGCTCCCTCCAAATGGTCTTGGGACGCAGCTGATTCGGCGGCCAGGGTGGTCGCTTCAGCAGTGGTCTTGAGGCACAGTTCTGTAGGGCTGCTACCTGGTCATCTGTTCACATCTCACTACACGCTTACCCAGCAAGTCCAAGACGACGCTGACTTTGGTAGAGCAGTGTTGCAAGCTGCACAACCATGAACTCCTAGCCCATCTACAGGAATACTGCTTGTGAGTCACCTAGAATGGAATCGACATGAGCAAGCACTCGAAGAAAAAATGGTTAGCTACCTTTCATAACTGTTGTTCTTCAAGATGTGTTGCTCATGTCCATTCCATTACCCGCCCTCCTGCCCCTCTGTCGGAGTTGTCGGCAAGAAGGAACTGAGAGGGTCTAAGGACAGCGGCACCTAATATACCAACGCATGAGCGCAGCACTCCAGAGGGTGCTACAGCTGACCCTACAGATACCTCTAAGGCAAAAATCTCCAACAACTGTGCACGTGGGTGTGCACACACCTAGAATGGAATGGACATGAGCAACACATCAAAGAATCATAGAATATCAGGGTTGGAAGGGACCTCATCTAGTTCTACCCCCTGTTTGAAACAGGACCAATCCCCAGACAGACTTTTGCCACAGATCCCTAAATAGGCCCCCTCAAGGATTGAACTCACAACCCTGGGTTTAGCAGGCCAATGCTCAAACCACTGAGCTATACATCAAAGAACAACAGTTACGTAAGGTAGGTTACTGTTATGGAGGTTAACATTTTTAGGTTAGGGTTTTTGATTGTTTTGATTTAAAGAATCCATGTTATTTGTATGGTCTTCTCACCACCATTGACTTAGGCTGGGAGCCAAAGGGAATTGGACACTGAACTCTAATTTAAATTCAATCGGATCTGGTCTCCTAACTCCCTGACTGCCTGTTGAAAATCCCACCCTTAGCTCTTAAACGTATCACTTAGCAGTATTTTAGTGACACTTCCATTAACATTTTTCCCTTTTCCTTTGTGCTATGGGAACTTTGTCTGAAGAATACAGCTAAGAGTTTCTGGTGCCAAAATTTCAGGTGCCTTTTGACGGGTGGTTTTACTTGACCTATCAATAGAGCAACTGACTCAACCATTTCAGATCTACTAGTGCAGGTAAAAGTTCTAACTACAACAAACCAAGCCCATTTTCCATATCCATGCTTGTTACGTTAACGATAGTGACAGATGACCTACGCTTGGGATACTGGCTTTTCATTTCCCTTTAGAGCAGCCTTGAATAAAAAACCTTTACAAAATAAAGTAGTTTTCTGTATTATTTGTTATTGGCTTCCTTTAACTCTAGTTTTCCTTAGTTTGCTTTTGAATAGTTGCTTGTTTGAACTATTCCTGTAGCTCTTTAGATGTTCGGTGAAGAAAGCAAGGGAGAGGGGAAAGGAAGCAAAATTATTGTAAGGGTGAAAATGTCTTCCCAGTCAAAAGTCCATAAACAAATACATCTTCCCTCCCCTCTGCCCAGCTGATAGAGAGGAACTTTATTTAATTTCTTGTTTCTTATTTTTTCCTATTCTGTTAAGAAGTACGGACAGGCATAAGGTAAGTGCATTCTTCCTCCTATACTCATTTAGTAGAATATCAAATAAATTGATAAAAGTTTCTCATTTATAGCCATGGAACCTTGAAATCCAAGGAAGCATTATTCAATGGAATACACCCTACAGTTAGACACCAGGAGCCTTACATTTAAAACAAATGTGGGCCATGATTTGATTTCAACAAAGTTACACCAGCAGTAAATCTGACCTTGTGTATTTCATTCATTAAATATTGGCTACTTCATGAATCATGGTATACACAAAGACTTAATCTAAGATGACGATTTAAAGCCATTGATTTATAAGCAGCCCAGATCAGTAAGTCATTCTCATCTGATACTTGTTTCTTAGCCCACTTAGTGAACTGAGTTGCTGGTCTCTATAGTTTCCATTGAAAGGGTGTCCATGTTAGAGTCATCACCACCAATCTGATGAAGCTCATTGCCACCCTGGGTGGTTGTCTCAGTAGAGAATCTAGAGAGAATGGAATTGGAGAGTGAATCACTCTGCCCCAGGGATGTTCCCTGGACTTCGGGGTTGAGGTAGAGAAGCACACATTGCTACCATGCTTGCCTTGCTTGAGAGAGAGAGCTCCAGTCCTGGGCTTGTCAGTCTGGCACCTATCATGATAACTAACAGCACCTACTAATAGTAATACAGTGAAGTTATTTAACATGAATATTTAAAGTAATTTGATATCCTTATACCAAAAAGAGTTATTCTGGGGAGTAACGTGGCAAGTGTAAAAGTGTGCTTCGTCTCTTAAATGGCTGACAGGAAGTCCATCCATAACCACTTCCTTTTGATTACTGTTGCCTTACATCAGTCATTGCTATTAGGTAATAGGTCTGATGACCAACGATCCAGATGGAAAAGTGAGTATAGTTATTACTGAGCTGTAACAAAATGGGCACTCAGCATGTCTCTGGCATTTTTTTTCATTCATGAGGACAATGGTTATAATTAATTTACAGTAGCAGTGTTTTATTTTTGGTCCTACTTCAGGTCAGATTCCAAACACACAGGTGTAATGTAAAGTCCGTACTTCCTTGGAAGCTAAACTATAGATCATAGATCGGCATGAGTGTATTCCCCCATTTATGCTGGTGGAGCGGAGCAAAAGTATGGGGATCTGTTGTGAGGGGCGTAGAAGGGGAGGAGTTGCAGCTCCATGATATGGAGGCATACTTTGCAGTTTCGTTCCATGTGAGTTTGGGATCCTTTATATTAGAAGAGGAGAGAGCTGTAGAGCTATCATCTCCTTGGGACATGGTGGGTTGCTAGGTGTAAATCTGTACTGGAGTTAATGCCATAGTAAACAACCTTAACTACTCCTCTTGGACCTTCTATCCTCCTTGGAGATGTCGCCTGGGCCATCAATAGTAGACAATCTTCTTAGGAAGAAGTACTTCCAATGGGCAGCACAGAGGGGCTAAGGCTTGTTCTGCAGGGCTGCTGTCTTATTTCTCTCAGGATCTCTAATCTCCACAGGGTTAGCAAGCTATACGTACTCACCCATCCCCTGCTTAAGTGCTAGAATCATGAAAGAATGGAAAGGAAATGCTGAGATTCTCCCTAGAAGTTGTCATACTCTGCTTTGGGGTTTTTGTTTAGAAGGGATGATTGGGACCCTAGTTCACAATTATTATTATATATTCTAATGTAAATGGCTATAGGGTATAGGAATTGAGAGATTCAAGAAGAAAAAAGCTAATGGAGTATCTGGTGCCTGTAACGTAAAACTGCAGCTGCTTTAAGACTGTGTTGAAGTATGAGCCACTATATTCTCTGCTAGCAGTTCACAATGGTGTAAAATTTTATCTGTTTCATCTGATTCATAATTGCTCTTTGGATTTTATGACATTTCGTACTCCCAGATACCACAACTAATTAAAAAATATTATGGTTAAATCTCACTAGCCAAGATATACCAGTTAAAAAGAATGTTTGTTTTTTTTCCCCCCCTGTTAATTTTTAGGTGATGGTTGCAGAAGCATTGAATATTTCGAGGGAAACCTACTTTGCAATTTTGATGGACAGAGCTTCCAATGGACCTGTGATGGTTGGCAGCCCACAGGGAGGTGTTGACATAGAAGAAGTGGCGGCTACTAGCCCGGAACTTATCTTTAAGGTATCAAAATGACATTTCAGATTCAAATTGTAATCAGATTTCCAAATGAAAAAAAAATTCCTCTGCAGAAAGATGTTACAAAAAATAAATAAATTAAAAATTTCATGTAACAAAATAGGGACCTGATCCTGGGAGATGAGGAAGGTTCAGCACCTCCTTGTGTTAACCCTAGACCTCTTTTCCTAATCTAGGCAAAGTCTTAGTGAGACAATTGCTCTAAATTTCACATGTTAAACATCACCTGTATATGAAGCATTTTCTTAATTGTTTCTTAGTATCTTTCATGTTTCACTTTAACTAATTGAAAAGTGTGGTTAGGCTTGTTCTTTTGCACGCAGGCTTAGGGTCAATACCATGATTGCCAATTAAAAAAACCCTACACTTAATTTCAAAGGTGGACGTTCTCAATTATTTCCTCCTCTTAGTATAGGTTTAAGTCTTGCACCTCAGATACTACTGTGTTGTCACTGTTGGCACGTACTCACTGCTGAATGATGAGTAATGCATTCTAGTATTTATAATGTTTCTGTGGCTTGATAATGAGTAGATAAGCTATTCATTTGGGAAAATAATTGGTACAGACATATAATTATGTGGGGGGAAAAGCAAAAATATTTAATGCACATTTTGAAATTATATAAACTTAGTAATATTACTGGGCAGCAATACCACTGTCTTGGAGACTTTCCAGAAGATGTCATAAAAATTAACAGCCTAAATATTCATCAACGCCATCTGTACAGTAATTAAAAATGAAAACTGGTGTCAGATTGTCTTGTCAGCATGCCACCCTGAAGAATTATATAGTTTTTTGGAAGGACTGTTTTATAGATGGTGTGATAATTATAACATACCCTATAGGCAGCTGCTATAGCCTGAATCTCCGAGAACTTTGGCAAACTGCCATACGTTAATTACTAATTTGCAAATATATACTAAGCATTTTTCTTTTCAAGTTATAAATCTCTACTCAGATTGAATACCTTAATTCTCTTTATGTACTTTATTGTAACAGGAGGAAATAGATATTTTTGAAGGTGTAAAGGACAACCAAGCATTGCAGATGGCAGAAAATTTAGGATTCAAAGGACCTTTGCAACAGCAGGTAACTTGACAGGGAAGGGTTCAATTGTCTTCAGACAAAAGGTGTGGAGGTGCCAGTTCTGCTAAGTGATTGGTTCTGAGAGGTTTTACGCCTTTTAGGGTAATGCTTAAAACGTTTGTATCTTAATAAATTGAACCTCTCTCATAACAGGTCTTGCCTATTTTAGATGCAGGTATGGGTGCTAACAGAAAATTTATTGTTCCTGAAATTAAATAGATTCAGTCCTTGATCTTGTGAGTTCCATTGATTTCAGTGGGTGTAATGGATTGCCCACATGGATCCCTTTGCTGGATCAGGTCTTTAATATCTCAAATGCAATATGACAGAAATCAATAAATAGGTGTTTTGTATAGCAGAAGAATGTTTTACTTTTTTAAAGTCTGAGACACAATCAAACAAAGGCTGCCAGTTTGCTGAGGGGATTCTGAGAGTATAATTTTCAATGCATCAGCGCTTATCTCTGTTTTATGCTAGGAATTCTATATAGTACATAATATCACAAGAAACAGTGCTGGAGTGAATCACTTTGTAGATAGGAAACAGCTGTATTTGGGTTAATGTTAATAGGTGTTAAAGACAGCTATCATAAGCTCTTTCTTCATACTTTTCCCCATAATATCAAAATGCCTTTTCTGTAGAATCTTTCCATTTTTAATACAGCACTTCTAATTATTTTCCATCCCAACTGTGCAATTAACAAATGCATAATCATTAAGTTGATTAACGCACATTTGAAGATTTAGCAGTATCTTCAGTGAGAACGAATGATTATCTCAAACCTTTCAACCCTTGCAAAGTTCTGGTACTTAATTATTGACAACAATACTGGGACTGTTAAACTGAACTATTGTGTATGTTTCTTTCCATGTACCATAACCTCTTCAATGGGATTTACTGAAGTATGTAAATGGAATAAATAGGTCATTAAATAAAAAGGTCCATCTGAATAGCAACTACTTCTAGGGTATGATTCTGTGCTGCTCCTCTAAAGGTACGTCTACACCTCAGAAAGACCGACTGCAGCCAGTCTCAGAGCCCGGGGCTAAAACTGACTCAGAATCGCGCTGTGGGGCTAAAAATAGCAGTATAGATGTTTTGGGTTTAGGCTGGAGCCCAGACTGTGAAACCCAGCGATGGGGGTGGGTCTCAGAGCCCAGGCTCCTGCCCCAGCCTGAACATCTACCCTGCAAGTTTACAGCCCACAGCCTGAGCCCTGCAAGTCCGAGTCAGCTGACCCAGGCCAGCCACACGTATTTAATGGTTGTGTAGACCATACCCTTAGGGTCTCAGCACAGAACTTGCAGCCTAGGGGCCAGGGAGCTATGGTGGCTTTAAGCACCTTTGTGCCCTCCTGATTCTGGGCTGCTGTATAACTTACAGCTGCCTTATGGCCCACAGTGCTGCCCGGACTCTCCTTCGCACTGCAGGTAGTGGCCTCATCCCCAGGATGTTCTGCCTGCCCTGGCATGCCCCCTACGCCAAGGCTTGCAGGAAATAGCCGTAGGGCTGTTGTCTACACTCAGTGCCTGTGCTGGGAACTTCTGCCCTGATACTAGGCTTTTGGAGCCCCTTATACCGTTCCTGCCCTTTTTTCCTTGTAATAAAGGGCTCGGAGTGGGCGTGAGACTGTCATCCCAATTTTATAGACCTGCTCAATGCTACCTTAAAAACAAGAGCATGGCTAAATTCTGATGCAGTAAGGAATTTCTAGTAGTTAATGTCACACGAGCTCCTATTTTAGTTGATTTTAATCATATGTTAGTTTGGTGCAAATTGTATTTTTTTATTTATTTATATGGATTTAATGTCTACTACTATTAATGTCTCAGTCACAGGGGCGCAATTCCTTGGGAGAGTCACCCATAGAACTGAGAGCAGGATTTGGCCCATTTGGTGTAGTCCCGAAGAAAGTGCAAATATATGTGCATACAGAACACAAACACACACAATTAGAGCTTGGCAAATGTCTCAGAATGGAATTTGCATTGGCTGTGTTCAGGAACCTTTTGAATTCATTTTCTGCAGATTTTCGACTGAGCAAGTTTATTGGCAGAAACGTTTGTAGAAACTGAATATTATGCACATATTTGTGAGAAATGAATGTTTAATTCAAAGATGAGTATTCACACCAGAAATCTCATTCTAATAATTATGCCATCATCCAGTTAGGAAACAGGTTACATATTTCTGTGTCCAATTAAAACTAAGACAGATAATAGCTCAAATATTAAACACAAGTAACAAACTGCTTGGGAATGGCCCACAAAACAAGAATTTGCGGAGGAGGGCTAGCTCAGTGATTTGGCCTGCTAAACCCAGGGTTGTGAGTTCAATTCTTGAGGGGGTCATTTAGGGATCTGGGGCAAAAATCTGATGGTACTTGGTCCTGCTGTGAAGGAAGGGGACTGGACTGGACTTAGTGATCTTTCAGGTCCCTTCCAGTTCTATGAGATAAATATATCTCCATATTAAATTAAAAAATTATGTTTAGAGATTATTTGGCACATATTTAATAACAAATAAGTTTAGAAACCTGGAAGTTGGTACTGATACAATATATATGTAAAGCACAACCATTCCCTCAATGTTACACAACTGTAGTATTTTGAGATAATGGTCCAACAGTAGTAGTGGGGTTTTTCATAAAGGCAGAAGCAACATAAAAGCAAGTTTGGTTTTTAATTTGGTTCCCTTCCTTACTTTCCGAAAGATCCCAAATGTTTTGGTTTGAGTTTTTGATTAACTGAACCACTGACCAAGATAAAAAGCTTTGGAGTGTGTGGTTTTTGGGGTCCCAATCTTTCTGCTACCTCATTGCAACCAATAGCGTTGCAATATGAAAATTCGTTGCAGGTGGAAAGGTTGGTTTACTTAGCTAACCTGTTAATAGGGGAATGGCGGAGGAAAACAGTGGTTGGGGACTTAATATTATGTCACGATTAGCCCCACCCACCCACAGCCACAGAGAGAGAGGAGGGGGCAAAGAACAGCAGTGGGGAGCAGGAGAGGCCGACTTTTAAATAAACAAACCCAATCTTTCAATTGTTGTTTCTACAGGGAAAAGTTGCATTTTGATGTAGGAGGGAGATTTATATTTTTTCTAAACAGATTCAGCAATTAATCTGCACTCATGAAATCCACATTGCTTCTCAGTTTCTGAATTTAGACTCATTAACATAACTACTTAACTTGAATATCAGCATACCGGAGAAAATATATTCATTATGAACTCAAAAACTTCTTTGACTGTGCTTAAATTAAGCTTGTTTATTTTAACGATGCTGTTCATTTTACTGAAAATCCCCAGTTTGTATACTATGAAGATAGCATTTACGAATGTTTATTAAAACTTTTAGGCTTTATTCTTAATATTTTTGGTAAGGTAAAATTCCATTTGAATTAAATACTCCTGTAATTCGGTAGCTGAGAGCTGCTGTAATCTTCTACCAGACTTGAGATTTCATGTAATTTGAGATACTAAAAATAGATGTAAAGGTTTACTGTTGCCTTTTTGTGCATGCTACTTACAAATCACTTGATCAAATTTAGGCAGCAGATCAAATTAAGAAGCTGTACAACCTTTTCCTGAAAATTGATGCTACTCAGGTTGAAGTGAATCCATTTGGTGAAACTCCAGAAGGACAAGGTAAGGAATGAAAGAAAACAAATGAATATATTATAATTCTTTCTTTATGCAAACTATACATTAAATTGCATGGATGTCGATAGCAGCAGCTTTGCATTAATTTCATTGTGTAATTTAATTTAAGCAATATTCATAAATGTTCCCATGATAGATTTTAACATGGCAGTAGCATTTATGTCATCTCAATACTGAAAGTATCGGCGTCTGCATGTTGCTTGGTGACAAACAGCAACTTTTTCTACTTTTTATGCAAAGTATTTTTGCTCATGCTATTGTAATTAGTGGGCTAGAGAGGGAAAAATCATTATTTTAGGATTTCATCTTGAATGTACAGGTAAGTTGCAGTTATAGATGCATGAACATGAAAGACATTGAAGCATAGGAGAGAGGAAGACCTATTGGACTAAAGGAGTTCACACCTGATTGTATCCTTTGGGAAGGTGAAGGATTTGCTTCCCCAATAGAAGTAGGTATAATAATAAGACTCTGCAAGATAAAGATGGGAAGCTGCTTTATCTTGCACGTTTTCTGTTGGTGGCTTTTTCCGATATAACCCTGCCTTTCTGCACTCTTGGTATATTAATTACACCAGCTTGTCTTCACAGCAATTTACTGGACATGTACAATACACCATTTATGTTTCCTCTGGGTTTGCCCCTGTCTCTTTACAATGTTGTAAATGCATTGAAAAATTATAGTCTTGAAAAAATAATAGTAAGTTAGGTTTGGTGCAGTAAAAGGATGTGTTTGAATTTAAGAGACGTGGTGGAGAACAAAAATATCGCCCTAATCCTTTACATCAAGTCATTAATAATGGGACAAACTGCAAAAGTCTTAGATATTCAGGTAAACCTTCAGGACAGAATTGAATGGAGCAACAGCATCTAACCTGGCAGGAAGAGCTGTAAACAAAGGCATTGATTCTTGGGAGATGTGATAAATGGAAGAGCAGTGAGAAGAGGATTTATTTCAGGAGTGGCGTAACGGAGTGGTGGAGAGGAAGCTGAGGAGGCTATGGCATCAAGGAAAAAGGTTGTGGTTTAGGTGTGGTCAAGTAGAGTGCTGGTGCAAGGAGCCGGTATGAAGTGCAAAGGATGGCATAACTCAAAGCTGAATCTGTTTCAACGGAGTGTAAGAGCAGCAGACTTCTCATTCATTTCAATAGGCAGCAACCACATTTGGCAATCAGCCATTGTGTTATACAACCAGGATGGAATTTTTCAAGGACAAGGAAGTAGGGATTGTTGGGCTGGCTAACACTATGTATTACAATAAATAAGATGTATTATCAAAGTAGAATATGACATCCATGCCGCTCTTTGTGATAGTATTATAGCAATTAGTGGGTGGCAAATTATTCACCATATACTTATTTAGATTTAAATGAAACCTACAATCTTATATTATAAGCTGCTATTAAAATAATGAATGTTAAATGCATGTACACACAAGTGCTTAAAACACATTCCCATTATCAGGCCCAGATCACTTTTGGGTTTATCTACACATGAACATAAGAATGGGCATGGTGGGTCAGACCAATGGTCCATCTAGCCCAGTATCCGGTCTCTGAGAGCAGCCAGTGCCAGATGTTTCAGAAGGAATGAACAGAACTGGGCAGTTTATCAAGTGATCCAATCTCTGTCATCCAGTCCCAGCTTCTGCCAACCAGAGATTAAGGGACACCTAGAATGTGGGGTTGCATCTGTGACCATCTTGGCTAATAGCCACCGATGGACCTATCCTCCATGAACTTATCTAATTCTTTTTTGAACCCAGTTCTTCTTTTGGCCTTCACATCTCCCTCTGGCAATGAGTTCCACAGGTTGACTGTGCGTTGTGTGAAGTACTTCCTTATGTTTGTTTTAAACCTGATGCGCCCCCTCCTGTAAGTAACCAATACTCACTTTGCTACTTCCTATGGTCCCCCACTCCATTAATCCTCTCACTCCTTCCAACAGGATATCCGTTTTTAAAGAGCCTGTAATATGACCTAGCAGCTCTTGCAAGTCTGTTTGCCAGGGCCTGTCAAAGAGGCTATCAGAAAGGTTGGACCCTGCAACCATCATGATGGAATAGTCAAAGGACTTGTTGGAATATGTCAGTCAATACTCAATATCTGGAAGATCTGTTAATTCTGACTATTAGGTTCTCAAACAGCACCCATCACCCTAGCATCAGAGAACTTACCAAAATTATGACATGTAACTGTAAGGATATGTTTCTTCTCTGGCTATTCCCTCCATTTATTAGGGATTACATATGTATTTTGTATTTATTTATTGTGGTGCTGTGGGAAGGCTAGACCAAAGAGGTGGTCTTGTGCATTTTACTCTGAAAATCATAAGGTTCATATTCACCCTGATCTCTTCTGAGATTTAATTCCAGATTCATGGGCCCCTTGCTGAGAAAGCTCTGCTGATGAACACATGAGTTTCATTTTTTTTTCTGTGAAGTGAGGAGTGCTGGATAGCAGTGTCTAAGGCTGACACATTTGGGATTATAGGAATCTCAAAAATGGCATTTTTGTGTGTGTGGTTGTATTTATTTAGGTATCCAGATTGAGTAGGTATTCATGTGGATGCTGAGAATGTGAACAGACTTAATTATCAGATGCCTTTGGTGGAAGGTAACATAAAGTAAGGGGCAGGTTCCTCCATCTCCCCATCAGTACCACCTAAGTCTTCTTCTGAGATACTCTTCGTCCAGTTGCTGATATCAGCCATGTCACTGGTTCGCTGAAAGATGATGCTGTTAGTGTCAGCTGTGAAGGTAATACAGGGCTAGATGTCATTGGCTTATTGCTGGCATTTTTGGTCTGTAACGTTTCACAGTCTGCTCTAATGGGTTCACTGAGATGAACAAGACGAGAGAGTGGACGGATCCCTATGGGATCCACACCTAGGGCTTTGAAGGTGGAGGAGACAGTATCTCTTACGTGCCTCTCTCTAGGTTTGGCCTGCGAAGGATCTTTGAAGCTATTTCCACATGATCCACTAACCCCTTCAATTTCTTTGAGTCAGGGCAGCAGGGTTCCATAGTTGGCCATACCACACGCTGTGGAGAAGTAAGACAATAAGATTGTAGATGCATGGCCCATAAATATGGTTCATAAACAGCAAAAGATCATCCTTCACTAACATCAGCCCCATCTCTATTTGCTGTCCTGGCTAGAAGCCTGACAGGGAGGGATCCAAGAAACTGGCTACGTTTAGGTGAAGATGCTCAAAGCAGGACCAACACCAGCTAAATCATCTCAGCCTGGGCGTTGTCAAGCCAGGCCTTAAAAACCTCTAAGGAGGAGATTCCACCACCTCCCTAGGTAACCCATTCCAGTGCTTCACCACCCTCCTAGTGAATTAGTGTTTCCTAATATCCAACCTGGATCGCCCCCACTGCAACTTGAGACCATTACTTCTTGTTCTGTCATCTGCCACCACTGAGAACAGCCGAGCTCCATCCTCTTTGGAACCCCCCTTCAGGTATTTGAAGGCTGCTATCAAATCCCCCCTCACTCTTCTCTTCCGCAGACTAAATAATCCCAGTTCCGCCAGCCTCTCCTCATAAGTCATGTGCCCCAGCCCCTAATCATTTTCGTTGCCCTCTGCTGGACTCTCTCCAATTTGTCCACATCCCTTCTGTAGTGGGGGGACCAAAACTGGACACACTACTCCAGGTGTGGCCTCACCAGTGCCTAATAGAGGGGAATAATCACTTCCCTCGATCTGCTGGCAACGCTCCTACTAATACAGCCCAATATGCCTTTAGCCTTCTTGGCAACAAGGGCACACTGCTGACTCATATTCAGCTTCTCATCTAGTGGTCCTTTTCTGCAGAACTGCTGCTTAACCAGTAGGTCCCCAGCCTGTAGCGGTACATGGGATTCTTCCTTCCTAAGTGCAGGACTCTGCACTTGTCCTTGTTGAACCTCATCAGATTTCTTTTGGCCCAATCCTCCAATTTATCTAGGTCACTTTGGACCCTCTCCCTACCCTCCAGCGTATCTGCCTCTCCCCCCAGCTTAGTGTCATCCACGAACTTGCTGAGGGTGCAATTCATTCCATCATCCCGATCATTAATAAAGATGTTGAACAAAACCGGCCCCAGGACCTACCTCTGGGGCACTCCACTTGATACCGGCTGCCAATTAGACATCGAGCCATTGATCGCTACCCGTTGAGCCCGACAATCTAGCCAGCTTTCTATCCACCTTATAGTCCATTCATCCAATCCATACTTCTTTAACTTGCTGGCAAGAATACTGTGGGAGACCGTATCAAAAGCTTCGCTAAATTCAAGATATATCACATCCACTGCTTTCCCCATATCCAAAGAGCCAGTTATCTCATCATAGAAGGCAATCAGGTTGGCTTGCTAGTGGGGTAGATTTATCTGTAAGGATATTTTGGAATTTAAGCTTTGTGGGCAGACCGTTCTGGTTTGTGTTTACTTGTCTTGCAACTGGGAGGGATTTGATTTGTGCCTTTAGGAAGTGGTGGTCTGTCCACGGGTGTTTCTTGTCTATCTAGAGCCTTAAAATCGCATCCAGGATATGACTGATTGTCCATATAGGCCCAGAGATTAGAAACTGAAGTTAGAAAATGTGGAGGGGAGATTTTGGGTTATTACAGCAACAGGAATTGTCATCATGGCTGTTGAAATCTTCCATTCCAATAGGAAAAGATAGTCACCATGTCAGACAGCATCTTCATCAGCTCCTTTGGGAGGAGTGGTGATAAATACAAGCTTTTTAATTGTCCACAGTTACTTTGTACATAAACTTATTTTCATTAAAAACTAAATAGAATAGTTTTAATATAGTTTGGTTCCCTTTGCTCAGAAATTCAAGAACTCGGTTGTGAGTAGAGACTGCAACAATCTTTTGTCCAACTGGCCAACAATCTTTTATTCATTAAATCAAACACAGAAGAATTGGCAGAGTAGTAGACAACAGACTTTTCCTGTGCTTTAGATTGAAATTCTGTTGGTATTAGTGACTACTAGAAACTTAAACAAAAACCCCACTTGATAAGTGTTGTTGCAGCTAAGTTGTTTTTTGTTCAGGTTTTTGGACATTAACATGCAGTATCACAAAGTGACATTTTTAAAACAAACATCAGTAGAAATAATTTTCTTGCAGTTCCATGTGACAGTAATTCAGAGATTGAATTATAATCATGATCAAGTGTATGTGTGTGTTTTGAGTATAATGAGCAGTAGTCAAATAAAACTGAATTAGGAAAAAATGATTAATTACCAAAATTTATAAATGCTGCCTTGATACAAGAGCATATTTTTGGTGGTTGTTGGTGGGGTTGTTTTGTTTTTATTTTCTGTTTTCAAAAACCCTAAAGTATTTTGTATAGATTTTGCATTTGGAAAATGAACAACAATATTTCAGAGTGGAAAATACAATTTGAGAATTTTAGTACAGTATTGGATGCTTGGTTTCTAGTTCATCTAAGATGCACTAATGACATAGAAATGGATTAATGACCTTTATTTTATAAATCTTATTCAGTTTAATAAATTTAAGTAAAATTCCTATCAATCAATCATAGCTTTATTAAGTTTTCACCCAGTTTGTGAAACTTTTTTTCCGTGGTGCAAAGCCAGGACTGTTGTCCAATGTATTTCCACCAGAAGCCAAGTTTTAAACATAAAGGGGAATTCTGCCCTCAGGAAACCCAGTAGACCAAATCTTGCTTGCCTCGTTTATGTGAAAAATCCTATTGACTTCACTAGAACAAATTGGAGTAAAGTGAGCAGGGTTTTTGTTTAGTGTGTGGGTGCTGGTGGTCTGTGATATATAGAAGGTCATACTAGATGATCTGGTGGTTCCTTCTGGCCTTAAAAATCTGACTCTATGGTTTTTCCATTCACGAAAATGGGGATGCATAGTCAAATAATTTGAGTAAAAGCAAGGTATTGAAATATACACTGATAATGGTTATCTTGTTTGGATCACTTCAAAAAGTGGGGTCCAAATTCTCTTGATACGTATAATGGGGTAAACTGGCTCTTTAAGAGTAGAGGGAGGTCACAAGACCCCATTCCAGGGAGTTGGAATGATCAAAGGCCCAGGAAATGGCCTGGTGTAACAGAAGAGAGACTGCAGTCCCAGGAAATTTTGTATTGGATGGGGGGAAAACCCCAGGACATTGTTCTTTTAAGGCCCCGGATCAGGAGCCTTGTAGTGTAGTGTGAGGCAGGGTTCCCCTCTCTTCCAGCAATTCGGAGGAGCCCTCTGGATGAGGGCAGTATATCAACTGCTTTCTCCCTCAAATGGGGAGACACTGGCAAGAGAAGGAAACCAGAGCCAAAAGGCCAGACTCCAGGGAGAGAGAGCTATGAGAAGTGACCCTGTGAAGAGCTCCATGTGAATGGTGGAAGAGCCAGTAGGAACCTTTGGATGGCAATGATGGACTGTTTGGAATTGTTTGTGGGCATTAAACCTGCCCCAAGTAGAGGGTGTAAGACTTATGAGAGAGGCTGTAAGGGGCCCTGAAGAGGAGAACAGAGGGAGGCTGCTGCAAAGGGAACTCCAGCCACAAGAGACTACTCAGGAAGTGGCAGCCTTCTTACAATAGGATTCTGATGAACAGAGCTTATGATATGAGACCTTTAAAGAGGCACGATATCTTCAAACAAGTAAATAAATACTGGGGAACAATCCTGGGCTGGTAACAGGCTGGACTCAATTACCAAATAATATGCCGTTTGCATACTAAAGATTTTTTCTTTTAATGTATTAGAAACTTTCCACTTAAATTAGAAGATGTTAAGGGCTGAATTCTCTGGTTCAGGATTTGCATGCGAAACAGGCCCACAGCTGTGGATTGCTGCACAGGGAGAGGTTGCTGCATGTTTCATCTTTCGGCTGTGTGGACCTGCTGCTGCTAGAGAACTGTGGAGAAATCGCCCTGTTGAGAACTCCAGCAAAAAAGGCTAAGGCTGTGTCCGAATCTGGTGGGTGTGTGGGAGCAGGGAGGCCAGTGTCTGATGCTTGGGGGGCGCATCTGACCTGGAGCTGGGGCAAAGAGTGAAGGTAGCGTGTAGGTTCTGCAATGGGGTAGAAGGAGCATCGGGAAGCTGAGTAATGAGTAAGTGCAGGTATTGGTGCTCTTGAACAAGATCGTGCTCTGTAGCTGAGAGATTGATGCAGGGAGCCAGGTTAGTACCTTCTACTGATGAGGTTCAGGGCAGAGGAGACGTGAGCTGGTGTAGCTGGGACAGCCTCTGAGCTTTTCAGGAATGGCTGAGGTTGCAGAAGGTTCCAAGCAGGGCATCCTCAAAAGGACTGTCGCAGTGGCCGCACCACTTTTTTCCACTCTTCTATACCAGGTGAGTGTAGGAGGGGAGCAGGAGCAGAGTGCCTGGAGGAACTGCCTGAGTGGCAGAGATGAATGGAATTCTCCCTCTGCCCATTTTCTGCTTTGTTCACAGCAGAGGATGCCAGCAGCATTTCATCCTTTAAAAACTTAACAAAAAGCAAACAAACAAAAACCCCAACAACACACCCTTCTGTATCTAGGCACATTTGAATAGCTTATTGCAATTATTTATCCAGAAAAAATACAGCACAGCACATGAAGAGAGTTTGTTCTTGTCAAAATAACAATTCAGATGGGCTTATTTTTTGCTGCTTTCATTTTTCACTTATGTCTGCATTTCTGTTATGAAATGTATTGTCCTGTGTGTTTCCTTTTGTCTCATTTTGTAACACATTCCTTTGTTAATATTCTTGGGTCAAAGGCCTATAACTGTCAATATTTATTTATTATTTTTTTGTTCTCAGTGTAAGCTGTTGAATTAGCAACTCCCCAAATCTTTTACTACTAAGAAAAACAACAAAAACTCTCCATGAATATAAGTATTGAAGCCTTCTTTGATATTTATTCAGAAGGAAAATTCATTTGTATAATCTATCATGCGTGTAACAATGTGCTTTTGATGGTGAAAATTGTTTGATAAATATTAATAGGTGTTGTTTTTTTCTTGCTACTTTGTACGTAGTGTGGCCTTTTGTTAAAGATGAATGTTCCACAGAAATAAGATTCCGTTAATGTGACACTGAAAATGTTTATGTCTAAGGTAAACTTAGAATGGAAAACCAAATGCCCCCCAAACTGCATTTTATTCTAGCTCTGGGCATTTCATTAAATAAGCCAGGGAGCATTCGAAAAGGGAAGTTGGTTGCATGGTTCTGATGTTGGTATAGGCCCTAATTCATTGTTAACAAAAATTAATGCATTACTAATGCATTGGAAAGCATATTATTGACTTCACATATTTCTTATTCTAGCAGATTCCCACATGACTTACTCGAATAATTTGTATTTATTATAGGGTAAGATCTAGAATCTTCCATGGGATATTTATCACATATGTACACTAGTAAGTAGCTCTCCAAAATTGCAGTAGCTGAGACTGGTCTTGATCTATTGTGATTTATTCCAGTACTGATTGTGAGTCAAGGGCAGAAAATTATTTTATTTAAAAGAATTAAAATAAAACTATTCCATCAGAAAGTAAGAGTAATACTTTCCTATATGGTATTCTTTTTTGTTTGCTCTCTGTGTATGTCTGTGTACATGTGCACACAACAGTGGCAAGACACAGCTGAAGACACAATAGATACAGACAAACATTGCTATCAATTTTATATTATAATAGCATTAACAGTTTCCAGGCATTTAGTCTGTCTGGCTTGCCGCAAAACATCAGTTGCTTCAGCCAGTCATTAATTTCTAGTAAACGTCCAAACCAGAGGTCATTAATGCTTAAATAATAATTTGTATATATTCTTATTTTTACTATTACATTTTTAATCCATTAAGATGTTTGCCTTTGCAAAACCCATAAAAGTAGTCAGTCAGTGTTCATCATATCCGTTCATAGTAAACTCATTTTTCACCCTTAGAATTAAAATAGCCCATAACTATTATTAAAGATAGTCCTATTTAGTTGCTGCTTAGTGCTTTCTTACAACCACAACAGATGTTCAAGTTGAAGAAAAGCCTTGTATGTACTTTCCCATTTTCTTTATTTATAAAAAGTTGTGTTGATCATGCTTAATGTATACTTAAAGCTATTGTTAATTTCTTTAAAGGAAGAGTTTGCAAGGAACCAAATAGACTGTAAAATAAACTTTTTCTTCAGTTATATTCTTTATCTACTATGGAGCTATTTAATGTGTTTTGTGTGTGTGTGTGTGTGTATAATATATATATGACTGTGCATTTGACTTTAAATACATTGTGATCTTTTCAAAAAGTTGTAACACTTTGAGGTTGGAGGACCTACAAGTTTGCTAATGGTTGAAATGATTTGTTGGGGTCACTACAACTGTATACATCATGAAAACCACCCTCGTAACTGACATCTTTATGGATGGGGCAGTTAAAATGAGCATGGAACACAAACGGTTCTCCTACTCTATAAGTAGTTTCCACAACCCATAACTTAAGACACCTTGACATTATTGCGTGGGGAAACTTGCAGTGCCATCACCCATGCCTGGACTTTGGAAAAATGTGTTTTAGGGCCCTAGTCCTGCTTTCCAAAACTTCTGTTGATTACTATGGAAGCAGAATCAGGGCCTTAGTACATAATTATGAAAGAATATTGCACTTTTATGTGACATTACATATGCGGTGGTGAATTTCTGAATTAAAAACGACCATTCAGTATCCGTAATTTGATGATTTTTTTCCCCCCTTCATTTAGTTGTTTGCTTTGATGCCAAGATAAACTTTGACGACAATGCCGAGTTTAGGCAAAAAGAGATATTTGCCATGGATGACAAGTCTGAGAATGAGCCTATGGAAAATGAAGCTGCCAAATATGACTTAAAGTACATAGGACTGGATGGGAACATTGCTTGCTTTGGTAAGAAAAGCAATCTGTCTTCGTCTGTTATCTTGGAGTAACCAATTAACAATTCAGAGTTTTCAATATCAATTGACTAATCTGTTTCTGTTTACAGTCATTTACAGAGAGTATTATCAGAAATATTTACAATTAAGTAATAATCTAAATACATAAAATTACTCACATGCTTAAGTGTTTTCAGCATCCGGTCCTATTTTATTACCAGTGAACTCTTTAAAGTGACACCACCAATTCAAAAATCACATTTCCATCTGATGACACTGTATCTACTGTTACAAGTGACCCCTAAGATTGTTAGCTCATTGGTTGATTGTTAGTCATATAGTGAGAATTACTCTGACAGAAAGATATTAAAGACAAATATATGCTTTCTCAATTTGTAAAATTTGCTTGATTTGTGTATTTTGATTTTCATTCTATTTTTTGACAGCACTTTGAGTGAATAGTCCTTTTTATTGTCTTGCTGATGTCACCTGCACTTCCCCAAATTCTGTAAGAAGGTAATAGTAGTAATAGGTAATCCTAGTACTACCAACAGCAAACATGAAGCTGAAATTGAAAGGGCAGCAGGCAGGAGTGTGCACATAGTTTAAAAAGGGGATGAAGTTGATCTGTAAGTCTGCGCATGTTTAGCGCTGCTATTTTCAGGTTAGCCCGGATGACCCTTCTAAATATCAACAATGGGTGCAGGGGGAAAAGAAGAATTATTTAAAAAAATCAGAAAATGCTATTTAAAAGGCTTTAAAAAACAAAAACAAACTGGATTTAAACTTTGGTTTCTCACAATGTAAATTTAGCTCCCTTGACATCTCAATATTTCTCATGTCAAACAGTAATTGATAAATCTTGCATTCTGTTGAAACCCTTTGTTTTAACTGAAATTCCTTTTTTCATAGAAGTAAAACAGTTAAAAATTTAAATAATTATGTAAAACATTTTCAGTTTCATGTAAATTGTTTAAGCCAGAACATTTTATTCTGAAAAGAATTGACTTCATCATTTTGATCCGAATTAGCTAAAATGGTTTATCCTCCAGAGATGGAGGAGTGGTATATGGATGTAATATAACTTTTGTTACTGCCCACAGATTATAGTACTTAGATTTATGCTCTACCCACTTATTTGAAAGATCCTCAGGTTGCAGTAGAACTAATTCATTGCATTGAAACTGCATTGGTCTTAATCTTTTAAAGGAACTAACATTAAAAAAAACGTGCAGCTCATTAAACCATCACTATCATCGAATTCAGTGCCCGAGACCTCATCCTTATGGTTCTATTCTGTACAGTAGAAACCTGCATACAATTACATGTGATATAAAAAGACTTACTTTGTACAGAAGCAATAACTTTAATGTACCAAACCATTCTGATTCATCTCACCCGGATGAGTTAATGTCCTTGCAACACTAGCAGCATGTAAAGTACCAAAGGATATGGGATGCCAGTGTGTCTAAACACATTTTAATAGAAGAAAGCATTACCCTGTTTGAACATCGTGTAAGAATTTTCATGATTTGAACACATTTGTTAAAATGAATATTCAGTTTTAAAATATTTTGTAATGCAGTATTAGTCTTACCAAGGTTAATGAAATTAGACATGGTTTGTAAGTGTGGCAGGGGAATTACAGGATCAGTAATAAGTGAAGGATACTTTACTTTGGGTTTCTGCTGGGCTAAGAATAATTTTTGTCCTTTACTCTGAGGGGGATATTTATGTGCAGTTACATGTGTGGTGCGTAATCTTCTTTAATTATTATGAAATCCCTTTTCTCAGAAGTTTTGGGGTTTTTTTGTACAGAACAGTCTTCATATGATTTTGTCTATTTATGTCAATTAAGTCACTCCTGAAAAATTCAGGTGCTGGCCTAATTTGAAACAAATCAAGTGGAGCCGGAAAGAAGTGAAGTTTTACGACTAGTCCTTGTCTTGAACTGATGTGCCATAGTTAAATCACATTTCACAAGTCTGAATTCCCTTTTGTAAAATATCAGCCTCTGACTCTTACAATTACAGTGAATGGAGCTGGTCTTGCTATGGCAACCTGTGATATCATTTCCCTTAATGGTGGAAAGCCAGCCAACTTCCTGGATCTTGGTGGAGGTGTGAAGGAAGCACAAGTCTATCAGGCATTCAAATTGCTCACTGCTGATCCTAAGGTAAAAGAATTGTTTTTGTACAGGATGTTTCCTAATGCACTAATATAAGGACATTTGTCTATCAAAATCAGTAATATGCTGAATAAATATAAATGATGATCTTGTGAACACTTGAGGATAACTTACTAGAAGTTGGATGGTCTAAAACAGTGGTTTTCAGTCTGTGGTCTGCAGACCCTTGTGGTCCACAGACTGTCTAAGCTTTCCAAAGCGGTTTGCACCTCCATTTGAAATTGTTTAGGGTTCTGCAAATGAAAAAAGGTTGGAAACCACTGGTCTATGAGACGGGATGGTCATATAGTTAAGGCACTGGACTGGGATTCGTAAGACCTGGGTTCAGTTCCTAACTCAGTCACCAACCTTCTGTGTGACCCTGGACAAGTCGTTTAATCTCTCTGTGCCTCAGGTCCCCATCTATAAAATGGGAGGAATAAAATTCCACTCGTCTGATTTATTTAAGGGCAGGTGCTCCATTATCATGTGTTTGTACAGCGCCTAGCACAGTTGGGGATCTCTAGGCACTGCTATAATACAAACAATTGGCCGAGCTTGTGAAGGCCTTACACTCTCCTCAAGGGCATTTCCCTGTTGATCTCTCTCTATATAAAATTATTGCTTTTGGATGCCACATCTGAATTTTGGAATTGATCAGGGAATGTTCTAGGCATCTTTAGCCAGAACCTTATTTCTTTTTGGGGGGGGGTAAATCAGAAAACCAGAAGAGGCATAATGGGGAACCCACAAAGCCCCTGCCAGCACATGAGCACCCCTGGCCTAAATAAATTACGGAGCGTGTGACTCTCCCTCCCCCAGTAATATTAATAATAAAAAATAGAAGGATAAAGAAATTGTTTATATTCTCATGGCAGAGCTAGATGGGCACCGACGTTTCGCCAGTAGAGGTCTAAGTTCAGGTTATGCCCAAGGTTACAAATGAAGGAAGTGGATTGTCCCTTTTGACCTAGTCCGGGTTGGGGATTTTTACAATCCATGGCACACATCAGCTTGATGGATAGGTCTGTGCTTGAAAGAACACACAAGTAGAAAAGCAAGGGTGCTGCAAGTCAGGGTGGGGAGAAGTGGGGAGCAGGTGCTGGCAGAATTATCTGGTGGGAGATTTGAACAGTTACCTGCACTATGCCTGATACTGGTCAGCACTATTAGATCCTCCCTCACTTTTATGAGTACTAGAGTCACAGAATTTAAAAAAAAAAGGAAAAGGGTTTGACATTTGTCTGTATTATTCAGAGATGGGTGTTTTATACGGTAATCAAGGGCTGAATAGAAGTAGAGATTTGGGGACTAAATTGCATTGCAACATAGAGACTCACAGATAAGTATGGTGTGGTCTTACCTCAACAACGTACCGCAGCGATGATTATGGAATAAACTAGGATGTGCTCTCACGCTATGATTGTGACTGCAGATTTCCTAGGTGCTCTGCATGTGCTGATTTTGATGAAACATGTATCCAGTTTAATTAATTAATATTATTCATAGGCATTTCTGTACCTCTTGTTAATATCTGACTATCACCATCCTACTCCAGATCTTCATTCTGTTTTCAGTGGGGATAACTGGCATAACTCAATGGATCTATGCCATTTTACCATGTGAGCATCTAGCCCAAGATGTACAAGTCACCAGCCTGAATGCTCCATAGCTCATGTCTCTATTTTTTTATTTCATTTTTTCCTTTCTTCATTTCATTTGCTTAGCCTTCTCCTCTTTGTCCCTTTATCTCTTTCTTTTTTTATATTTTTACATACAGATTTTGTGTATTGTCTCTCTGCCGCTCTTTTCACTGAATGAATTTTCTTACTTTGTAGGCCTTTTCCTGTTTTGTTTTATTTCTCTCTCCCTTTGTTCTCTCATTCACTTTCTGACTATTTCCCTTTGCTTCCCACTCCTTTCTAGCATGTCTGCTTAGTATCCCAGTGGGCAAGTACTTTTTCTAAAATAGTTTTCAGCAGGACACATATCTGCCATAAGGCATTTAACTAATAGGAATGTCAGACACTCTAACGCATAAGTACAAGGGGTGGTTTTGGCTTTGTCCACTTTTAGATTTTGAATCTTATAGAAATTATTGCTCATCATCCATTTTTAAGTTATTAACCTCAGTTCCTTTGACTCTGTCCCGGCACACCAGTCAACGTTCCCCAGCTTTTATGTTTTAGTCACCTAGAGGGGCTTTGTCTGGTTTCAGTGAAGCACTTCTGAACTACCTCTTGTCAGCCCTGTGATTTCACTGATTTCGCTTTATCCTTTTGGCTCCATGGCCATCAGTGACACTGTTTCAAGTCAGCATGATATCAGCTGAAATTCAGCTTTCATTTTCAGCAGTAATTTATGAAGAAAATGTGTGGGATTCAATTAGGATTTCGGAGGACATATAGCGGTGTATCAGTCTCCTGTTAAACACAGGGTACACAGCAAAGAAAAACACATGACTGGCCCATGCCAGCCGAATTGGGTTCGCAGGACTTGGGCTGTGGGGCAGTTTCATTGCTGGGTAGACTTCCTCGCACAATCCTAGAGCCCGGGCTCCAGCCCTGAAGCCAACACAGCAATGAAAGACTGATCCCAAGTTGGCTGGCACGGGCCGGCTGCAGGTGTCTGGTTGCTGTGTAGACGTATCCACAGGCACAAACCAACTGTACCAGGTTTGGACAAATTAGAGGCTAAACTCACGATGTACGTGTGACCATCCTTATTGCTGTACATCTTATGGTCACAGAGAAGCTTATTGCCAATTTAAAAATAAACATTTTATATTTTTTTCTTTTCAGTAAACAAATGGCAGTTTGATATCGGGTCCTTCCTCAATCTGAATACTATTTTCTGCATTGACAGGGAGATGGAAAAGATAATCTAATGAGCCTTTTCCATTTCTTAACTAATATTGAGCTTTGATCCCCATGGGTTATGATGTTTAGTGTAGTATTTGGAGTCAGTAGTCAGTTATTAATTACCCTACAACCTTTAACCTGTTTCCTACCGTATCCAAGAAAAGAAAAATTTGCTCTTGGGAGTTTCCAGGCCTATTAAAGATGGCAAATATCTCCAAAACAGGTAGAGCCTCTGAGAATTATACAAACCACAAGGTCCCCTGAGGGCAGCTGACTACAATATATAGTTCTGAACTTTTAGCTGGGGACTCTACAAGAAATTAAATCTTCCAGAAAATGATCAAATATACTTTAAAACAGGACTCTCTCTTTAAATGTCTTTAAAGTGTATATTTGTTATAAAGTATTGGGGAAGGAAGTGGGTAGTGCAAAGCTGAGGACATTCTGTTTGAGGAGAAGTTCATGATGTTCTTGTAGTTTGACAGTTTTCCTAAGTCTGACTGTTAATGGCAGCATTTAAGAAAAGAAATTAGTAATGTTTCTTGGAAAACACCAACCGTGGTTTTTAAAATGGAAATACCACCTTTAAAATTTGAGTCTTCTTTGAGCTTTTCATCCTATTCTGACTTTGTTTGCTGTCTTCCAGCTAGTCAGTGCTGCATATATCAGATTGGCTGTAGAAGTGGTTCTGAATGTTTTTTTTCCCTAGCAGCCCAAAATCTGGCCACGTTTTTCTTCCTGTGATCCCACTTGCCTGTCTCCTTTGCACAAATTCCATGGGTGCCTCTGCCTTGGCAGGAGTTGAGCTCTCTTCCCTTTCCTGTGGCTACCTGCATGAAGAAGGGAGAGTTCTGGTCTCTGTCCTCGTTTTCCAAGCTGCTGGGAGGCATCAGTGGGATTTCATTGCTCTTCTTTCTCACACAATAAGGTGGAAAAGAAGTTGCAGTCTTCAGTGCCACAGCAGTGCTAAGGGGCTTGTTCGACACCCTCAGATGAGCGGAGTGCAGTGCTGATCAGCAAACCCCTGGTAGAGTGCTGAGAAGTGAGCAGTTACTTGTTCTCACCAAATTCTTCTTTTGTCCTCACCGGTGTTGACAAACACTGACCTATTATTATTGATTATTTGTATTACTGTACTTTCTTGGAGCCCTGGTGATGGACCCAATGTACTTGAAAGTCTAAAATCTATTGACAGGGTAGGAACAGTGGTCGACTGGATAGGGCACTGGACTGGAACTCAGGAAAGCTGGGTTCAGTTCCCAGCCCAGACACGGACTTGATGCGCGACTTTGGGAAAGTCACTTTAATCTACCTTGTGCCTCAGTTCCCAGCCTGTAAAATGGAGAAATTCCCCTCTCACACAGGAAGGATAAAATACAATCAGATATTAAAGTGAAGAAGCTTGTATAAGTAGACAGATGCAAAGTCACTTTAAAGAAATTATAAGCAATTCTGTTTTACCATTGACTGACCTCCAGCACTGACCTGAACAGTGGAATCTAAATGCAATGAAAAGTAGTAACTTCACTGAAAAGAGGGACTAAAATTAATCTCTTTCAACAACTGAAGCTCCAATTGTTTTAAATGGTGTCATTGACAATGGCAGAATTTAATCCAATCAGCAAGTGTTTACTTGTCATATATGCAAATCATTATATTGCCTAACAAATAATTTTTAAGCAAAATATTATATATTGACATCTGTTAACTCGTATAAAGGGAATAATTAATGCCAAACCCAAGAGAAGCTTAATTTGTTTTTCCTTCAGCCATTCCTTAGTCCAAACAGATTATTGTTTTATGAATATGAAATAAGCATTCTTATTCCTATCACTGCTGTTTGCTTATGTCAGATGCATCTCTCTGTCCACTCAGTGAAGGAAAATAATGGCATTGATGTGCCTTGACATTCAGTTGTGTGTGAAGCAGAGGTCTTGTGGTTTTTCATTTTCTCAACATCTGAGGCACTGAACAGAATTCAGAAGAAGAGTATCATTAAATATTTTGCAATTCACTTATTTTCCAGCTGTGCTTCGTGTTCAAATAATACAGGTTATCCTTGCTTATTATAGAAGACATATTTGCCATCAGTTTATCATTTGGGCTTGAGGGATTCTGAATATTAGTTTTCTTAAAGTTGCAGCCCAT